TCATCTACGTGTGATTGTGTGTGTGAATGTAAAACTTCGCCTCTAACTAATACTGATCTAAAGAGGATTTTTCCCAAAGCAATTTTTTTTGGGAAATCAGTTTTTTGAAATTTTTCTATATAAATTTGATTAAAGATCACCTGCCAAGTCAGTTGCTCAAAAGAAACATGTTAGTTGCTTGAACCCATTCATTCCATTTGTTCCACAAATCATGCAGTTGTTCTACAAATCATGTCAAGGGGCTTGACGAAACAAACAATTGCTGATTTAAACATGTCAATTGCTCCAAAAAATCATGCCATTTGTTCTACGAATCATATAAATTGGGTCTTTCGAATCATATAAAAATTGGGTTTTACGAATCAAGTCAATTTATCAAAGAATCATATAAAATTTCTTTTACAAACATGTCAAATTCTCTACAATCATGTAAATCGATCGATTAATCATGTCCCAATTTCTCTACGAATCATGTCAATTGCTTTTACAATCAAAGTCGTTTTTCCCCTAGCGAATCATGTCGATTGCTCTAACCCAATCAAAATTTAATTTTCTAAACGAAAACATGTCAGGGTTTCTCTAAAGAATCATGTTTAATTGCTCTAACGAATCATTTTCAATTGCTATACGAATCATGTCAGTTGCTCTAGGGAAACAAATCCAAATTTCCCCACAATCCCCGGTTTTTTAAAAAAAAAAACTGACCTTTTTGCTTTTTTAAAATAGCCAGTTCGAAAATTTTCAAAGATTCCAAGTTTAAAAGTAAATTTTTTTTTAAAACTGAAATTTTTTTTAAAACAAAACTAAAATTAATTGAGCACACAGATGAAAATATTTTTAAATTTGGGAAATTAAAATGGATCAATATTTCACAACAATTTTACTTATAAAATGGTTTAAAAACGGCACCAACCCCGCTTAAAAAAGGCATCCCATACATAAATAGCCCACACATAAAAAAAAAAACTTTATACGTTTTTTCGGGGCCCGATTTAACAGTTAACTACTTTTGGGGGAAATTGGACCAAGTTGGGAAAACCCAAACGCGTCAAAAGTTTTTTCTCCTATGTGCTGGTTATTTGTATGTTGTTCCAGTCACGGTATTGTTTTCGTGGTCTTTAAGATGCATCTTGTTAGGTCGCGTGAAGCTGCGCCACTGAGGCTTTCGGAAGGTATCAGAGCTATTCCAGGATGCTGGGAATGAGGTCAGTATTTTCGGTAATAGGGAATCAACAAATAGTCCTCGTTAGGGTACACAAGCTTACAAAATGCACCGCGTATTAGTGGCTTTCTTTTGTACCTAACAAGTACTGCATAACAAAAATAAAAACATGATTTTAAATTTTCTGAGAGGCTGATAAGTTCTCGGGTCATGAGGGAAAGAAAGCAGAAAAGCTGAAGGCAACCACTTAAAAGTCTTCCTTCGGGGATAGAAAAATGAAAGACTGGCGCTGAAGAAAAAGTGCACTGTGCTAAACGTATGCTGGGAGAAACGTCTGCAGATAGAAATGTGTTCTATTGGAACCAAACGCTCTGAGATTATTATTATTCATGTTAATTGCTAAATCTATGTGGGTCATTCAGCGCAAGACGTGGTTGGAGGCTTGATCCTCTCTCTGTTGAGCGCGAGGCAGACGTGCTGCCTATTTGTACTAACCTAGTTATATACGCTCTCAGAACGTACACTGGTGGCAACTGTTCATAGAAACGAGCTGTAGCGGAAACGTACACAGAGGGATGCATAAGTTTTGTTATGTTAAGAGTTTTGGCGAGAGTGTTCTCTTCTAACACCTTTCTCGTCCACTTGCGCAGTTCTCTCTCCCATATCTCAAACACAAGGGGAGAAGTGGAGGAAGAGGAGAAGAGGGAAGAGGAGAGGCAGAGGGAGAGAACTGGTGGGGGAAGAAGAAAGACATGGGAAGCGATAGAAGAGAGGCGGGAGAAAGAGGAAAGGCGATAAGAAGGGAAGAGGCAGGAATGGTGGGAAGGACAGGTGGCAAGAAATCATTGCTTTTGCAGTAGCTTTATATTATTATAAAGAGTTGTTATTCAATCAACAACACCGAAAATACATATAAATAAAAATACAACCGCAAAAAAAATATTGGTTGTGCATAGAACATGTTTTCACACATTCATATAGATCTATAAAAACACTGCACAGAGCTGTCCCAAACATCTTTGATATAATGTGGTTACTGTCTTCATAGACTGAGGTCATAATTTTATCCTAATAAAGTTCCTGTACACTTGATTAACTACGTTGATCATAAGATGGCCACCCCTAGCTACTGGGTATTACGACGCCGGCAGACACACTAAATCCTCCAGTTCGTTGGAATGAGACAAGAGACATTTCCCGAGCTGCATCTCCTCCTAACGCAGTTCAGGTGTATGTTGCTGGGCTTGAGAGGAGGATCTCAAAGCCCTGACTTGTTCTGCAGGCTTAAGGTCTAAGAGTAAGCCTCCAACCTCCTGGTACTTTGAAACAATGATGGCTCCTACCTGTCAGCCTCTCACACCCAAGACCCGAGGCCCTAACAACATCTAATCTTTTGGATAATTAAGACACCTGTGCAAATTTTGGGTATCTTTATTCTGGAAACGTTTTGCCAGGAAGTGGCTTCTTCAGTCCAGTGGAGCGAAAGGTGGAAGTGAGGAGGAGTTTGAGGTAATCAGTCCCCCAGTCTTGCTTGAGTCAATGCGTTCAGTCCATCAATCTTGATAAAAATGAAGTATATTCGCGGGGATGGGGTTTTGTCCATAAGTGACTCCGCCTACCACTGTTCCACCTCATTTGCCACCAGTAAACCATTTATTCACATGCAATCTTTCTATTAATATATCTCCTTATAGGGATATGCCTTGACACCAGTGAAAAGCTCTTGATCCAAATAAATGGGAACTACTCTCCCTTGGATCGAAATAGAGTGTCTACTACTATTTCTCATTCCTCAAAGCGTTGTATAACCCTCACAGGTTTAGCGCTCCCCTTGTGAAACAGGCGACGATTTAATATTGTATTCTTCTATTTTTTTGCATATTTAATTATTATTTAAGCCTTCCTGAATTAATAATAAACCTTAAATTCCTTGATGAAGTTGGTTAGGTACGTTAATTGAGTCTAAAGCTTAGAGACTACACGAGGGTTATTAAGGCTGCATATAACCTGTTTAAATCAGGGATTAAGATAAACACTGAGAGACATACACCTCTCGGTGTATATAATGCAGTGTGTGTCAGTTAACCTTACGCGTCCTGAATCGTGTGTTGTGATTACATATAAGAAATTTGATGTTTTTTTTACTAACTACTCTGTATCAGAGCGTTGATGAAAGGTTGATATTTATGTGGGAAAATTTCCTCACATCGTGTGTGTGAAAATTCATGAAAGAAGTGTCAATATACGCCCGGCTCTGCCAGACGTAAAAGTTCTTTTTTTTTTTAATTTCGTTATTGTCCAATAACTATACATTAATGTAAGTTTGTTACGTTAACTTAACCTGGCCGAAAACAACACATACAAAAAAATCATCAAGTTCATTAATTCAGAAATCAACACGATATTGAGAAAACATTGTCTCGTGGGTAGTATGACGTAACTTGCAGCCACCTCATGGTCGACCATCCTTTCCCAAGGTCGATCGTCTCGTCATGTGACTGACCCTTCTAACCTGAACAAAATGCGTATGATCAATACCCCTTGATAGTTGAACTTGCTAGACCGGTATTTTTCGCCGTGGTCCAGTGTGACTCCCACTAACGTCGACAATTGTCTGCCTTGTTGTAGAGAATGAGACACAACACGAAGTAATCCTGTGATCCAGATGGTAAAAGCAAGAGACAGAGGGCTCACCCTCACCAACCTGGGAGAGACAGGATAAGAGACTTGCAAGTTGTATATAGAGCAAACAGGTCTAATACAAAATTGATTCAAGTACCGTTCGTCATGCAAAAGAACCACAGGGAGCGCCTTTGTTGGAGTCCAGCAAAAGCGCTCTGGCCTTTCTGCAAAATTGCAAGCTACTGATGATGTGTTGATTGCAACATGAAAGGGCTAGAGTTATCATTCAACTCCCCACGTAGTTGTTTTGCATCTTGTATCACTTGTTCGAGATATTTGCATAATTTACAAGCATATATAATTGTGATTCTCGTCCCGAGGAAACGTTAAACCCGTCTGGGGTATACAGTTCCTAAGGAAAGGAATGGCAGCCCCACTTCCATAGACCAAGAGACCTTCACCATCAAATTTATGCAATTTTCTGTACAGACAAAAGCATAGTAAAGTCCTTGACTAGCACCATGACGTAGTAACATCCTCACTGTTACCATCTGCGCTATGATTGAACTCGCTTGTTTATTTTGTTTTTTCTCTGTTCGCTTAGAGTTTTGCGGTCTGTTATTTTTTTATGTAGGTATAATTGTGCGTATGTATCATTATCTAAGTGATGTTGAGGATGTTGGTCCCAGCTCCTGCGTCCACCTTTTGATTCTATTTTTTGGTGACATGAATGTTACATCCTGCCAGCTGGCCAGCACATACCATTCGAAATACGAATGAAGGACATGTACCCAACAGTTAGGACGTGTGCCAAAGTATTATACACGTATCTTCATTTATCGTTATCGATTCCTAGTTCTTGTACAATTATTATTATTATTATTATTATTATTATTATTTTTATTTTTATTTTTTTCTCAAAAAGCGCTAAACCTGAATAAGCCATTTACACAAATATAAATTTATATGGTTTGCATAAATAACACTAACGTTGCTGACAAGAATTTGTTACCGAGTTCGTAGTGACAATTTAAATTATATCAACTTGTTTTAACGTGTAATTCGTTGTTAAATTATGCATAATCTTAATCAGTTTTTCATATCCATATAATGGCAGGAAAACAAATGTATACAAATGTTAAATTTTACTGATTATATGTACAATATTTAAATTATATATAAATTATATTTAAATAAGCATATAACAATAGTTCCCTGAGAGTAAGTTGTTAAATGTGGCAGATCCACTGCTATATTTAACATCTACAAACACTAATAATAAAGTATCACATTTACTGGCAACTACATGCCGTGTCTTCAACGACTCTTCGTTTGTGATACCTCCGTTTATTGTTCTCAGTAGTTAACACTACGAAGGTCTTGTTGCGTTGACTTCCTTGTGTAGGAAGACAGCGTAGTGGCGAACGACAGTAGCTGCAGGAGGGAAGGCAGCGGCCCACCACTACCCACTCTGGATTAAACTTCTTGTCGAACAACGCGTCCTCAGGAGCAAGTAACTTCTGTATGTGCATGACGTGTGTCGTCGGCCGACATCCCACGGTGTGAAGTTCCCTATATTGCTGTAGGATCTGCTGCTTTCCCCACTCCATCCCAAATTTAGTCGCACCGTTGAATGTAGGAGCAGGGTCGCTAGGAGGGACAGCTGTGCTTGCTGGATCAGTCACTGTTTCATTTTCTGTTGTAGAGAAATCTTCTTGCTGCTGTATGTCGTACATAGCTGTGTAGTTGCTTTCCGTAGCTGGAGATGCACACTGACCACTAATACCACTCTTTATAATTATTAGAACACTGATCACCACAAACGCTCCAATGATTGCGCCAAATATAATAAAGCAATTGATGTAATTTTTATCGGAAGACGCATGATTCTGGGGTATCACTTCGTAAGACATCTGGGCTATAGTAGACTGCGTCATGTCTATGCACAATCCACACCGATCACAACTGCCGGAGTTGATAACGTAGCAGACGTTATAGAAGGCAGAGCGTGAGCAAGTGATGCTACCTCTATGCTGGCTAGGCGAGGAATGCAGATCACAGTTGATATGAGGGTGAATTTATGCTGTTACAAAACGTTTTGGCACGAGTGAGTTACGTCACCTTACTTTCGAACGTTTGGTGGACCAGCTGAAGTGATGTCACTCCCCCCTCTCCCCCCCACACCACTCCCCCCCTCTCCCACCCACCAATCACCCACCACTCCCCCCCCCTCTCCCACCCACCAATCACCCACCACTCCCTCTTCCTCATCCCTCCCCCTCCACCATTCCGTACATATCCACCTTCAGAAGTAATAAAACCCTAACTGAATGCGATTATTATTATTATTATTATTATTATTATTATTATTATTATTATTATTATTATTATTATTATTATTATTATTATTATTATTATTTAGCTGATTTACACAAATTTTAATAAACAATATAATTTTTCACATCTTCAGTAAGGAAACTTACCTCAAACTCTTTTCATTTTGAAGGTTTAAAAATACAGGAGATTTAACTTTCACTGGTCTAATACAATAAATAAAAACGCAGGAAAATTCTTTGCTACAAGCGAGCTAGGATAATCATTGTATTTAAGAGGGACAGCAGTGAGTAACTGAACAAAACGGAAGAGGAAGGATTGATGGGGTGGAAGTGGAGATGAGTAAGAGAGAGTAATGAACAAGCCAAGACTAAGGCGATAATGTAAGATAGAGTTGAAGGGATGACTAAATTTAGAAATTTAGAAATTTGGAAAAAAGTAAAAACATATAATAATAATAATGTCTATCTCCTCCGATCTACAGAAAATAGCTTTAACAATGAACCTAATAATGACGTTCATAACAGTGGGAAGCAGCGCCAAGCTCGACACAACAGTTACTCAGTTGGTTTCCATCACAGATCTTGTTCCAGACGTGTCTCAGGTTTGTAGACGCACACAAGTATTTACCTTGATGTGCCTACGCACACAACGCACATTATTCTACGAATCGTCCATCGTCGAATTCTGCACGCTCAAAAGTTTTCAGAAAATTTAGCATTTGCATTTCTTAGTTAGGTTAGATTTATCTGGGTTAAGTCATGTTAACCAATATTTACGCATAATTACCAGATAAAAACTAAAGTAAAACAAATTAATACGTGGCCTGAGTCTGGCAGCGCTGGGACAGCCTTCCAACAATATTTATATTACTAGACATATAAGCAATATTGTGCAATAGCACGACGGTGCACCGCATGAGCACTAGCTCTTGGCTCCGTGTTTTATCTGTCTACCCAAGTCATGTGATATAACCCCCGTCAAACCTATTTCTAAACTCTTGCATAGAGTTCACTTCCACTGTACTCTGGGTCAGCTGATTCCATTATAATATTTGTACTGTCTTGCAGTTCTAACACATGGTGATGAGTAAGACACTTGTGTAACAGTTAGGTATCTTTATTGTTGAAATGTTTCGTCTACACGGTAGGCTTCTTTAGTCAAATACAAAGAATGGATTGTGGGCTCTAAAATATCTCACACATACGCTCTGTCATTTCACCAGTACTAAGATGTTTTACCAGTACTAAGATGTTTCACCAGTACTAAGATGTTTCACCAGTACTAAGATGTTTCACCAGTACTAAGATGTTTCACCAGTACTAAGATGTTTCACCAGTACTAAGATGTTTCACCAGTACTAAGATGTTTTACCAGTACTAAGATGTTTTACCAGTACTAAGATGTTTTACCAGTACTAAGATGTTTTACCAGTACTAAGATGTTTTACCAGTACTAAGATGTTTTACCAGCATTAAGATGTTTTACCAGCACTAAGATGTTTTACCAGTACTAAGATGTTTTACCAGTACTAAGATGTTTTACCAGTACTAAGATGTTTTACCAGTACTAAGATGTTTTACCAGTACTAAGATGTTTTACCAGCATTAAGATGTTTTACCAGCACTAAGATGTTTTACCGTACTAAGTGTTTTACCAGTACTAAGATGTTTTACCAGTACTAAGATGTTTTACCAGTACTAAGATGTTTTACCAGTACTAAGATGTTTTACAAGTTGTTATGTTGTTGTCCCTTATTACTTTGACAGTAAGGTTCTCACTACATGTTCTAGTGTGGGGGTAGCTTTTACATAAAGGCTTTAGTAGTCTAGGGTAATATTTACATTCATGATTAATTATTCTCAGGGTCTCTGAAATGCTTTCACCAGCCCTCTTCACAGGTTATTTAAACCACCTCTATAAAAAATATAACTGTATTCTAAATAGATATGTACAGAATATACAATTACAACACTCACATATTAAAAACATAAGCCTGCACACCCCTTAGCTGTTCTTCTAAGACAGACCATATGGTGGATCTGGACAAATTGCCCTTCTTTCTTCTGGACTAATCTCTGGACTAACCAGTGTTTTGACACACTTTAGTCACCCTGGGTATGGTGGCCACAACTTAAGTTATAAAACTCACCCCTGGGGCACACATAATGCCCCAAAAAATAGAAAGAAGGACCCAGAGGTCCTACCAGCTTCAAGTCAACAAAAAAGAGAGGGAGAGGGAGGAGTCTAGCTAAGCTCTTCCCACACCCACCAAAAAACAAAAGACTGTTTATTTATTTATTTATTTATTTATTTGAACATGATACAGAGAAGTAAAAAAAGGAATATAGTAAATTGCAGCATGCCAAAGCCCTTTGTATGCATAGCATTATGGGCAGGCTTATAATTAACTTAAGATTAACTAAGCAATGATATATTCACTGGTAAAACATTATTGTAAACAGATAACAATTAAGCACAAGTGAGTATTACAAAGACAGGTCATATGGTCATTTACTGTGTTGTTATTTTTAATTGCATTACCTGTTAGGTAATGTAATTAAAAATAACAAAGTTTGATTGAGTCTGAGGTTAAACATTTCTGAGGTACAATTATGAGAAACATTTATGAGATATAATATGTAAGATAAAATTATTCAGTATTTATTTGGTTGTGGGTGAGTAAGTGATTTTTGAGAAGAGACTTGAATTTATAAACAGATAGTGTTTCTTTTATATTTACAGGTAATGAATTCCAGATTTTAGGGCCCTTTATGTGCATTGAGTTTTTGCATAGCGTGAGATGGCCTTGTGTTACGGTCATGTGTTCTGTTGAGGTTGGTAAGGAGACGTTTGAGGGGAGGGTTTATATCCGAGTTAAGTGTTCTATGTATGTAGTAGGTGCAGTAATAAGTATGGATGTTTTGTATGGTGAGTAGGTTTAGAGTTTTGAATATTGGTGGAGTGTGCTGCCTGTAGTGGGAATTTGTTATCATTCTGACTGCAGCCTTTTGTTGGGTAATTAGTGGTCTGAGATGGTTTATTGTTGTTGAGCCCCATGCACAAATTCCGTAGGTGAGATAGGGGTAAATAAGTGAGTGATATAGGGCCAGGAGGGCTGACTGTGGAACATAGTACTGTATCTTCGATAGTATGCCTACGGTCTTGGAAATTTTCTTGGAAATTTTCTTGGAAATTTGTTGTATATGTGTTTGAAATTTGAGTTTATTATCAAGGTGGATTCCTAAGAATTTTCCCTCTGTGAGCTTTGTGATAGGTGATTCGTTTATCATTATGTTAAGAGGGACATCTGTAGCTCTGTTACCAAACTGAATGAAGTAGGTTTTGTCAATGTTTAGAGTAAGTTTGTTAGTCCTCATCCAGATAGATATTTTTTGTAATTCGGTATTTTCTGTATTGGCTAGCATGACTGGGCTCGGGTGAGAGAATACGTATGTAGTGTCATCTGCAAATAGTGTGGGTTTGAGTAGTTGCGATGCATTTGGTTGGTCATTTATGTATATGAGAAAGAGAAGAGGGCCAAGGACACTTCCTGTAATAAAGTTGGTAGAATTACCGACAATATGTAAAGTAAAAGGACACAAGTGCAACTAATGTGACATTTATTTGTTTGTAATGGCTTGATAAAGCTCCTGGAGAGCGAAACGTTGCCACAATAAATGTCACATTAGTTGCACTTGGACACTTCCTGTGTTGCCAAGCACAATTCTCTAGCTACCACAACTCTGCCACACCTTAATTTAATTCTACAAAAAGAAATACAACTTTATAAACTACTTATTTAACTGTGTGTGTGGGTGTGTCTATAGTATAACCTATTATACTGAAAAAACAGGCTTGACTCAGCTGCCTTACAGATATAAGAGTAATCTGCCCTTATGACATTTAGAGCTGAGTCCTCATCAATTCAATATAATTAGGTATTCCAGAGTAACTGTTACAGATACATAAATACATGTTGGGTCCTATAGCCCCATAACACCCCCACCTCCAGACGAAGTCTCACAAAAGCTAGCCGTGTCCCTCAGGACACAGAGCATTATGGTCAACATAATGGTCCCACATCATCATCTTGGTCTGGTTGATGGGCACGTTCACTGGTACCATCCACCTCATACGAGCCAAACAGTGTCTGAAACTGAGAAAGAGCTCCGAGGGGGGAGCATCACCATCCTCCCCAAGCCAAAAGCTCAGAGATTCCAGAGTGCTTCCCCACTCAGCAAATACAAAGAAAGGGATCCTTTCATCCCAGTTGTTAGTATGGTCTATACCATAGGCTTGCATCATTGTCTTGAGGGTTTGATGTAATTTCTCTATTTCCCTTTGAGATGGAGGGTGATAGGCAGTTGAAAACTGAGGCTCTACTTTTAATCCCTTTAAAACATTTCTAAAAGACTTTGAGGTAAAGTTAGGCCCTTGGTCTGTTTGTACCTCCTGAGGAAAACCAACATGGGAAAAGAACTTCATCAAAGCCGTTAAGACTACATGAGCTGTTATCTTATGCAGAGGGACTGCTTCCAGGTACCTGGTAGTGGAGCAAATAATTGTGAGTAAATAATCATTTCCCAGTTTGGTCCTTGGGAATGGACCAAGTACATCTACTACCAGCTTGCTGAAGGATTCACCTGGTGCTGAAATAGACTGAAGGGGAACAGGTTTAATACTTTGACTAGGTCTCCCTATAAACT